AGTTATGAGAACTAAAATAACTTATTTTGAAACTTTTTATATTAAGGGTATTTTAGGTAGTTTATATATTTGAATAGTGAAATGGGTTAGTTTGGGGTTAGTTTGGAATTTTACCTTTGAATTTGGGTCATTTGCTTGTATTTCCCCAATAGTTTATGAGTACACCCCAAGACCTTTTTATTTTATTGGATTAAGGAGATATTTGTAAAATTTTTGTGGTGTATTTATCAAATGTGTATTTTCTTCTTTTTAATCTTTTATTAGCTTATTTTACGAAGAAAAAAAACTTCAAGTTTACGTTTTAAAAAAAGAAGAAGTAAACTTTGCTATTTAAAAAATTAAAAGAAAAGCAAATTTCCAGGAGCATGGGCGGACATGGGGGTGTCCTCCCCCAACTTTTGATAATTTTTTTTTAATAAAATCGTATTTGATATTGATTGAAATCTAAATTTTAATCTAAATCAAAGTTAACAATTAATTTTAATAACATATTTCATGGAATCTATAACTGTTTAATTTTTATCAAAATTTACTAAAAAAATAATTTGAATCTCCACAGAATAGAGGCAAAATTNTTGATTGAAATCTAAATTTTAATCTAAATCAAAGTTAATAATTAATTTTAATAACATATTTCATGAAATTTATAACTGTTTAACTTTTATCAAAATTTACTAAAAATTTGATTTTAATTTCCACCAAACAGGGACAAAATCACAATAAATTTGAATTTCGATAACATGCTAATTTGAAAAATTCTCTGACGATCGTACGCTAATCGAATTTGCAAATTGCTTATGTCTCTCAATACTTATTTTGAGAACTGCATTATGGGCATATCGAATAATCCAAACAGTTATCGAAAATAGTTAAAAATATGTTAAACGCGAGTCTTGAAAAAAGACGTCTAACTCACTTTTTTTAAAATTCAATTATTTCATTAACATTTATTATTTTTACGATACAAATTTTTCAATATAAATTTCACCATTTTATTAGGAAATTTTATATGGAATATGACATCAAAATTTTTCGAAATTTTACATTCGAANACAAATTTTTCAATATAATTTTCATAATTTTATTAGGAAATTTCATATGAAATATGATATGAAAATTTTTCGAAATTTTATATCCGAAAAAGTCATATCCCATGTAAATTTTCGGATGTAAAATTACATGGAGTATGATTTTTTTGAACGTAAATTTTTTATTGTAAAATTTTTTCCAATTTCTTTGCAAGTTCAATTGTGCTCCATAACTTTTAAATTCTTCGTTTGCCCCTGTCCAGGAGCATAAACAATGCCTTTGGCTCTATTCTACGTTATGATGAGATGAATAATTTTTTTTTTTTTTGAAAACAAGTGATTAAAAAAGAGGAAAAAATTTTGAATTTATGTATAGTATTATTTTATTGAAAAATATGTGATCGATGAGAAGATATAGGAAAATGAATTATAATTTGATGGAAAATAAAAAGAAAAACGGGGCTTCACCAGTCACCACCCTTAAAAGGGAGGGTCCGCTGAAGTTGCCTGAAATTTAACGACGTCGTTTAGTCCGAGAATCGTTATCCGCGAAATCCTAATCTCAATCTATTGAATTCTTATTTCTGCTCTGTGATTTTCGATATCTGCATACACATACAAAAATGAAGAGGGGACTACGGTGGAATGATGAAGAAGATGATACATCCTCTTCTGATGATTCCTCAACCCTAGATACAGACACGGAAGATAATCAAGCCTCCAAATCTACTAAAAAGAATACAATTCTATCCACCAAGCAAAAAACTTGTCAAGGTAACAATATTTTTTCCATATATATCGTTGAAAAATTTGTATATTGATGGTATCTTTTTTTATTTTCAAGACATATTTGGTCCCATTTCTACGACAAGAAGTATAAATGCTTCTTCTCGCGAATTTTCACCCAATATTTAAGATGAAATCAAATCTTCAACCCCATTTCTATATTTTTGCTGGTGGTTTAATGTTTATAAGTTCAATTTTGAAGCGAAAAGTTCATAACTTCATTAACCAATATCACCTAAAATGATAGGTGATAAAAAAATCTTGCGTTACAATCGACACATTCACATGGAATAGGGGAAATAGTATCAAAATGGGCTAATCTATTAGCCGCCTTATTCCCAGAACGAAGATGTGACGCCATGGGCCTGCATCTAACAAAGATGATAAAGACAAAATGGCCTGAAAAATATCAGCATTTAGCGCCATATCAGACTCAGAACTAAGATCCGTACTATTTGTAAAGAAACGGTTCGAGCTCCTTGATAGAGAGTCCACAATATCGAGCAAATTGCAACCCAAATCGGAGTGCTAGAGCCTCGGCCAGTTCCGGTAAGAAGAGAGGTTCGCCCTTCGGCACACGTAAGGAACGGATAATGTGACAATGGGTGACCCTGGCTCAATCCCTAGATGGAACCACCACCACTTTGACTCCCCATTAATGTAGAAACTAAAGAAAAGGTGGCTGTGGATATACAATCGAAAACCGCTTCACTCCACCATTGAGGAAATCCCATTTGACCGATGACCTTAAGCACAAAACTTCACTCACCCTATCATAAGCCTTACTCATTAGTTTGAGAGCCATAAACCCCTTCCTACCCCCTCACTCATTTCCCATTGAATGTAGCGACTTAAAGACCATAATGACATTAAAGTCGAGTTGAAGGAGGGACTGAATACCTTTGCTTTCATCTTTGGCTCTGCTGCAGACCATCAACGAGTCTTCTTCTGGGTCCATGGACTTTAAATAGACAAGTATTGATGTTGGTGAAACAGGCGGGTTTAGGGGATATTGCCTCCATGGATTCCAATAACGTATCTTTTTAAAAACAGTTTCATAATGTTCCTTTAGTGTTTCAGAAGGAGAAGTTTGCCCATCACTGGGGTGAATCTGTGGGGTTGGTGGAGGCTATTGATATGGCTAGGGTTAGGATGATCAAGACCGTGAAATGGGGTGCCCGGGTGTAAGTGGCTGAGAAAAATACTTGGATTATGGTTTTTATTACTCGGCGTTGTACTAGTTTTTAAATATTGTGTAATGATTCAGTTAGACCGCATTCTCATTATTGTCCATTGATATTATCGTGGCGGAGATTTGATCTTAACTTGCTTGTCTTCTACATCCATGTTATTTGTTGCTGTCTTGTTGTACTGTCTAAGTATACCTTATTTAATTCTTGAATGCTTTGCTATTCTTTCTAATTGAACAGATGCACACTCCATTCAAGGCTCAAGCTTAGTTAGTAGATATTGATATTTTTGGAGTGCACGACAATAGCCATTACATACTGCTACTTTGATGTGACTTTTGGTGCCATTATACCATTCAGTTCTTGATTTGAGCCATGCTTTATTTGCTCGACTCTCCGCAGTGTAACTATCATGTTGCCGGCAGTGCAGGGTGAATCTTTTACCCCCCTTATCCGTGGAAAAATAAAAATTAAAAGAGAAGGAAACAAATGAAAAAAAACAGGGGACGCTTGAATTTGATGGCTGATGATAATTTAGCTGCTGCTGTGGCTGACTTCATTCCAGTCCTGATTCACTTAAATCATATTCAATTTGCCTAATTATCTGCAATGTAGTCGTCCTATAGCTGACATGACATCGTATAATAATCCTTCACAGAATCCCCCGACTCTCTTCCAATCATTTCTACTGCACCCCCATCGTTGAAAGAAAAAGAAAAAAGGAGGAGAAGAAGAAGCAACCTAAAATAGAATTTAATGGCTTGATCTTGAATTTTTGCTACTTGCGTACAGTTGACTCTGCAAAGAAAAAGAGCAAAGGTGTCAACTTTGAAGCTTTGAGTCAACGTGGATATAAAGGAGGACTATCAGTCTTGAGCATCCCACCACCTAAAGAATCTGATCAGAAACAGGACTGGTCTTGGTCATCGGGAAAGGGAACTTGGGCAAAGGAGGTAGCAGAAACTTACGAAGCTCGACTGAGAACAAGAGATGCATTAGCTGAAGGAGAGCTGCTC